CAGGGCCCGCCAATTAGAGTTTTCCTGTTGAAAAGTCACGGATTGATGGCACACAATTATAATAGTTTTTCTTCTTACAAAGTAATACAAATACATTTTCTCTTTTAATTTTTTTCCTTGAATTGTGCAAAGTTACAACTCCAATTTTCATTAAATCTTTAGGAATTTCGAATAGAGCAGTGGTTCTACATTTTTCAACACCTCAATTACATTATTAAAGATAAATATTTATTTGTATTAGATCATTTAATGTACTTTTTTTTTTCCAAAAATAAAAGTAGTTTTCATGAACTTTTGAGAGGATTTTTTTAAGACCTGCAAACCAATAGTAGATAAAGGATAGTATGTGAATACTATGCCTGTACAAGTCTTGGCAGGTCAATCAGTAAAATGGATGTTGTAAGAGTGGGAGGTCTTGGGTTCAAATCCAGGCCTGAACTATTTTTTAAATTTTTTTTCCTTTAAGAGGTTTTCCAGGGAATGGTAAAGTGTTTGTGGGCCAGAAATTGCAATATTATAATAATACATAACCATTACAATAATATGAGAAAATATGTGCTATAGCCCTGCTAGTTTGTCTTAACACTTGCTTTCATATTGTAAAATATCTTCTGATTGGCTTTTTTTATACCTTATAGTATTCTTATTTAAATCTGTAGCTAACTTGTCAAAATGTTTTTTTATTGTATATTAGAAAATAATGACAAAGTATTTTGATATTGAAGTACATAATGTGTTTTTGATATAGACGGGAGGCCGACACTCCATCCAATTAGTGGGACTTCCCCGATCGACACGACTAGCTGCTGGAAGTCTACCCCCTGGCTCTCAACTGCATCCCAGCACCAAACAAGCTCTGGCATCACGGGGCCTGCTCAACTCTCAGCGTGTCAAAGTGGCCACAAACTCAGGTATTTGTTAATACACGTCTCGTAATTGCCTTTCATTCATGGATATTCAGTTACATTTATCAGGTAACGGATTATTTTCTGTGAGATCAAAATCATGAATAGTGTTCTAAAAGATTTTATTTGTGGATAAATGTTAAATATATTAAAATAATTTTAGATTATTTATCAGAGACTAATAGCATTATATTATATTGGAAGAAAAGTTTATATTTTTGAATTATTTTTTTATTATTTCTGGAAATCTTGTTTCATAACTAAATAATTTCTTTCTACAATGCATTTATATTCAATATGTGTATTCAAAGTTTAATTTTGTTTTACATTTCTTTTATATCATTTGCATAGAAAAATTACAACTGTATGGAACAGGGAAGCGAAATATTTTTGTATATTAATAAAATGTAAATTTTGTGTTTAACATTTATCACATGGGTTAAGTTTTCATATCTTATCAGTATATTGCTTCATAAATAAAGCGGCTTGGTAATTGCAACCAAAAATTTAAAATTATATTTGCAAAACCTGTCAGAAAATATAAGAAGTTAAAAGATTTTTAGAAATACTTCTACTGTTTCAATAAACTGTTGTGAGCTATATGAAGATAAAATAAGCATACACATTAATCATACTGAGAATTCGGGAGCTTTGAAAATAGGATTTGATGACTAGCCCTTGAAGGTGCAACGAGAAGTAATGATATTACATTACTTACTTTTATTACCAACAGTACTTGAAATTGATTTTAACTTCTTTATGTGACAAAATATTGAAAGTTCATTGCAACAAAAGATGTGATAGGTTTCTGATTCTGAAAATGAAGTCTAACAAGCAAACCTATGATCTTTAGGAGTCAGATCTGTGATTCACTTGAAGTTAAAATGGTTGGCTCGGAAACTGATGCATACAATGTACAAGTAACAAAGGAATGTTTCTTCTAAAATATCACAAATAGTCTCATCTTCCTATCACTGACGCAATTAAATTATCAAGAATGTAAGATAGTTAATAAAAGTAATGACTCATAACTTCTTGGTGCAAATATCAACAAATGTGGTTCAAAGAAGTTCTTGTAGTGTATATCTTCAAGTACCTTTAGAGGAAGCTTACACATATCTACTGCAAAGCTCGTTTCAAAGGAGATAATTGCACATAGTCGTGCATTTTGTGCAGAAGCAGAAAGAACTAAGTGACCTTTATTGATTGTTCATAAGTAATGTTCTTGGTCCAGAATGCATATCATTAGACATATTCATATTAACTTAGACAAATGTTCAATGCCAAACCTGTTGAAATTAAACAATTTCAACCCCTTTTCAAAACCCAACTATCTGCCCTCTTAAGTTCTAATTGCTCATGGCATATTTCCTCCATGAAGCATAATTCATTAGAGGAAATCAGCACTATAGGGTTTTGCTCATTTGAGCTGCTTGTCAGCAAGCAAATAAATTGATGTCATGCAGTACAGAAGGTGAAAAAATCTGCCGATTGGCATGCATTGTTGACATAATTTGTCCTATCATAAAATAATTTATATTGAGAACTCATATAGGTGAAAGTAGAATGAAATGTGAAAAATAAAATAAATAAATAAAAAGATCGAGAGAGAAGAAGAAGGAAAAACAACCAAAACAACGACAACACTGAAACATACTGAGGAACAAACCACAGTTCAAAAATTGAAGGAATGTGAAAGAGAATGCAGAGCACTGTGAGGTGATACATAAATGGTGACAAATTAACAAATGTCATTGTTGAGCAGTGATTGCGAGAAAGAAACTCAAGACTTAAGAAAGAGTTGTCGAAGAACAGTTACTTTCTAATGGATCTCAGAATACAAGATTCAAAAGAAATTGGTGCACCTCTTGTAAAAGAGGAAATCAGTACGACACTAATCAGTAAGGAACATAAGTTCAACTCTTAATGGCACTGAGTGGCATCTCATGAGCCATCTTTATTTGTATGACAGTAGTAGGACATAATGCTATTTCATACCAGAGCTTCAATATTAGATATTAAAATAATTTACAGTTAATTCGTATAAATAGATTTGCAAGTAACACTCATGATTTGCGAGAAATTTTTTTCAAGTAACCAAAGTTTTGCTTAAACTTGTCAGTTTTCTTCAAGAACATTTTGATAAATTTGTTTTGAAAATTAGAATTGAATGTCTAAGTGACCCTGAACAGCTGTTTTTAACAGAAAATTCTCAAAGATTGTATCCAGTGTTTCTTTTTATTCAAGAGAGAATACTCAACTGACTTGGTGAGTATTTTGAGGCAAATGCTGTAGCTCTGCTGAAAACAGTCTGACGATAAAACTGGTTTAAAATGAATGTTCATATGATAAAAAAGTTTTTAAGACTGAAATACAATTAAGGCATGTGAATATAATTCCTTTATCTCACTCTGCTCTTTGATTGCTCATTTGCTTGGATGCCTGATTTGAAAAAGAATTTCAAGAATTATGCTGAAAAGGTTCTAATAGCTTCTGATGTACGAAAAATATAATTACAACATCAAATTCATGGATATGAGTATTCTGTGTATTGTGTGTTGATAATTTTCCACAGGAAGACAAGTAGACAGTCCATAGATCAGGAAAGAGTTTTAAGACCTGAGAGAAATCAAGCAAATACTTCCTAAAAGGATGGATTTCTATTTTTCAGAGAATTGTTGAGCCCTGATCTGCAAAATAAAAATAGTGAGTAATTGAATAACAACCTTAGAAGAATTAAAAAAGCTGCAATGATGTAAGAAATTATTCTTGAAATAGTGTGATATTGTTTTACATTTTTTATGATAAAATTCTATAAGTATAAATGCTCAAGAATTTTGAGGAGTTGCAGCTTCTCTCAACTATCAAAATAGTAATTAGTTGGGTGGAAAGACCTGTTAATTGAATTGACACCAAATCTGTTTTAAAAGTTCAGAATTTCCTAGAAAAAACAACTTGTAGAGAAAATTAACCAATGCATTATTGACTAACATAGAAAATGGAAATGTATATAATGCTTGGAAAAATTATGCTCATCATTCAACAAGTATCCATTTCTGGGCGGCACCGTGTCAACTTTTATTAATCTTGCAATGTTTTTATTGATCTTACGTTGCCCAAAAATCGAAAATATTTACAAGAATTTCTTGTTCTAAGGATGAGAAACTGAAAACATTTATAAATTTTTATGTTAATTTTTCTAATCAACCACAAAATATGCAAGTACAAAGAAAACTTAAACATTGTAAAAGTCTGAAATTGACTTGTGCCTAGAAGTCAACAAAGAGAATATTATGGAATGTTGAATTAAAGTAACCCAAGAGGACATTAATATGACACAGAGTCACAGTTAATTTTTGTTTTGGAGGAGGACGCATAGGAAAATATATGGACTTGTGAAGGAAGGCACTGAAAGGAAATGAACTAATTTGGAAATTAATTACATAGGGGATGAGAAATGGCTTTTAAGCGATTGTAGCTTCCCTTGTAAAAGTGCAAAACATAGATGATGAATGATTGCAAAATTATTTGTTGAATAGCCGATGTCTGTTGTTGCAAAGCATTTCACTTTAAGGACAAGGTAAGTCAGCGATGTGTTGTGAATTATAAAAAGATCCTTCATACAAGCTGGTGGAGAATAATAAGGAAAAGCAAAGAAAATATGTAAATTGTAGAATCAATTCAATGGCCTGAAAAAAATATTAAAATAATTGGAACTCATTAGTGGTCTGCAGCTGCCAAAATGCTACTTAACAAATCCACACAAAATAGTTTACGAAAAAGTAGCTTACACCTCAAGAACAACAAATAAAATAGTCTTCAATAATACTGCAACAAATTAATCATTTTGATGAAAACAGCAATACGAATACTGCGATATCATTGTTGTATTGTGTGTATATGAATAACAGTTACAGCATAACCTGCCAAGAATATCAAAATGGTAGTGGTTGATGTAAGCTACTCATGAATAGCAAATATTCAATGGCAGGTAGTCCGTTCCTTGGAGCCTTGGTGTTGCATTATGTCAGTTGTGTTGTAAGTAGTGACACACTAAGTATCAGTTGGTACATGCAGTATGAGAAGAGGTGGAATATAAAAAACTTGCATTTTCAGTCAAAAATTGAAACCATTTCGTTACTTTGGATTTTTCTCAAATTCCTGGATATCACAAAACCGTGGACCATCTCTCACATGGCGAGAGGCTGCACATTATTCTTTCAATTTCTATGTGCATTGGAAATTAGTAATGTAGATATTTAAAGAACTTTTACTTTTGTATATGCTTTGTTGCAATAAAACTTATTTTTTATTTTAATTGTATTCCTTTTCATAAAGGTAGATGTTAAAATGGGTTTATTCACAGGAAATATCAGACAACCTTTAAAAGGAATTAAATTTTTCATTTATTTTAGTATAAAAATCTGTCGCCTAATCAGATAACTAGCATTCTCTTGAGAGACATACTGTAGAATGTAAGGGAAGAGGTAATTCTGAAAACTTCACAGCTCCACCTTCATGAAGACTAGGGGCAGTTTTATGTGTTTTTAAGAAAACAGATTTTGTACTAGTGAATATGAAAAGAAGAGCCACAATAATATGTTAAATGATTTTCAATCAAATTAACCTAAGAGAAAAATGTCATTTTGAGCCACAGATTAAAAAAAGTCATAAGGAAACCAGTGTTTTTGAAAATATCAAAAGGTTTTTGTTTTGGTGTCAGATTTGAAGAAAATTGAGAAACAGAATTGTTAATAAGATATGAATTTAAAAAATGGTAGTAATTTGTGAAGAAAATATGTTTTTTGTGTCTACATTAGAAGTATACGATTGTCATTTAAGTTTCAACCTTTGAGCTATTATTAATTAATTACGTAGTTGTTTGATATCTCTTCTTTTCTTGTTGTTGTTACGTATATTCTGCAAACATATTTGCATTAATTGGATTTTAAATTTTCCAACTCTGATTGAAATAACAAATTTTTCTTATTTGAAGCAGAACTATGTGGCAAATCATTTATTAATTTATTTTTTTATTTCTTGAAAAGAATAAATTAATTCTGCTTGTCCTGTCTTCCTTCTTAACAAATATTAATGCTGTAGAAATTGGTTTGCTTGTTGTTTGTGGTGATGGTGGTGAAAGTGGTAGCCATTCTTTTTTTTTCTTCCCTGCTTGGTTCATTTCTTCCCTGATTCATGCTTTCTACATGCATTTGGACCATATCTGCATGAATTCCATATTCTGTGTTCATGGAAATTGATGCATCCAGAAATAAGAACCGTTGGATACATTTTTTTCTCATGTTCTCATACAAAAATTAAACAAGATAGCAAGGAAAGTGTTTGGCTTATTATGGTCATGTTCTTAAAATTTAGATTGTAGTGGCTTACTTTTGTGTACAATAAATTGAAGAGTGCAGCTGAATGGGAGGTCAGGTGCCACTTGAGTGAAATGGGTTTTCAGTTGAACATAATGATTTAAGCCTCCTTTGTCTTGTGGGAGGGTACTTTTCAGCAAAAAGTGGCTTGACAGTGTCGGTCGCTAAATTTAAATGAACAGGGCAAGTGATTTTCTTTTTTCTTCTTTTCCTCCTCCTCCTCCTCATCCTCCCTCCTTGTCCTCCTCACTTAAGAGGGTTTTTTTTTATTTATTTTTTTTATTTTATTTTTTTAATTTATTGAGTTATTGTGAAAGAAGAGATTCTCAGATAATACTGGAGTCTTTATGTAAGTGCAAAGTGGACATGTGCTCAGTATGTTCTAAGCTACTAAGTGAATGCAGCATTATCTGAGAGAGATTTTTACTGCCTTTACTGTCTAATTTGCTCTGCTGCACTTGTCCCATTGTTCAGCTGTATGCTTTAATTGGTGAAAATGCATAACATGTGTATTCTTGTTTTAGCATGTGCTTCTTTTAACTTGTAGATATAGTTATAACAATACAGTTCATAGTCATGAACATTTTTATGTCCAAATCTTCCAAAATTTAAATGGAATTAGAGCATGCACAATTGGTGTCTTAACATTATCAGTCATCGTAATAAACTTTCATTAATTTATAGCAGATTTGGTGGCATTAGTCATTTTTTGGGAATCAGTTTAAAAGTAAATAAATTTGAGTATTAGTGCAGTTGTTTACATTAAGTTAAAATGTTATTTTGTATTATCATGATTATGAAAAGTCTTACTGGTTTCATAATTTATTATCTATTTTATTAGATTGTGTATTGCACTTTCACAATTGTTAATTTTATACGAGGTAGTTGTTCTGTTTGTGTTGGAGCCCTGTTGCATTAAGTGCCTGCATGGCCTCTGCCTGTGCATGGGCAGAGTCTCACTGCCTTCTTTGCATTGCTTCTCAGCAGGGGCTGGGGCGACGGTGACGTTGGCAGGCGCAGGGCTTCCTGGGAACCAGGTGGTCACATTGACTACCCAGCAGCAGGTGAGTATGTGTTGCATGAGTATCTATCTGCAGGTTTTAGTGTGAATGGAAATTTTGTTGAGTGAGTGACTGAAGGAATCCGTGATGGACTTGTAAACGTGCAAAAACGAATTCTCTGTAGAACTTTGTTTAAAGATTAACACAGAAACAAATGCATATTAAACTAGGTGGTAAAGAGTGTTCTTTGATATTCCAAATTGTTACAAAAGTGTTAATAAAAATTAAGAAATGAATGATGTGTTCAAGAATAATTTTAAAAAAAATAATTATTTAACGTTTTTTTTGTGAGAAGAAAAAAAGAAAAGAAATGAAGTAAGAAGAAAAATGAAGAAAAAATATTGATGTCAATGGAAGAGCACAAAAATGTATGCTTTGCAAAGACATTGAATTCTTGCTGAACCTGCAATAAATTGCAAAAGAATTAGATATTGCCAAATATTACTACATCTTTACAAAGTAGAAGGAAATCAGTGTACAAACCAAAAGAATGTAGTTGCAAAAAGTCTGTCAGAAATTTAAAATGTATTTAAAAAAAGATTTTGGGTCCATATTTATTCCAGCTTCAATGTTGCCATAAACAATATTTTTTGATGACCACATAGAACCATTAAACATTTATATACATTTATCTTAAGAAGACATTACCGAAAATACAGAACCAGCGAGTTCGCATTATGAATGATTTTGATATTCTGTTAGGAATAAATAGAACTTTCGTCTCGTAGGTTGGCAGTATCTGCCACTTCCGTGGCTTTGTGTTCTTTGGCAAGCATGCCAGTTGTGTGTGTTGTGTGTGCCATCTTGAATCAGAAGTCTAAAGCAGTGTTATGTTCCTGTAAATCAGTGAATAGTAAAGTTATCTGTTATGGTATGATGAGTCTTTGTCTCTAGCAGCACTCCAGATCAACTGACAAAATCTTAACATATTCCCCTAAATAACATAAATTTAGGAGCAGAAACTAGAATGAAACTAATCAAATTATTGTTATAAAAAGCATAGCCCAAAAACTTGAAATCCTTAAAATTAATTATTTTATAAATATATATGTATTTATTGTGAATGAAAATAGTAAACTGCATGTGATAAGGACAAAAATGCTACTGTTCTGTTCTGGCGAGGCGCAAGTAAGGAAAGACTACTGTTTGCTGAATATTGCTTCATAAAGTAGATAAAAAATTACAAAGAAGATAATTGACTTTGATGAATTGAATTATTGATTCACAAAGATGTATTTCTTATCATACTGAGTAACCAGAAGAATAGAGACTAGAGATCCTAATTCAAGAATTTAAAATATTAAATCAGAAGACAATTTTCATGTGGAAAAACTGTGGACTGGAATAATGGCTACTTCTGATAAGACAAATTGGAGAATAAATCAACATGTTTCTGCCTAATTAATATATTTGATGAAAATATGTTATTAATCCATAAACCATGAATTTTATCATTGAATATACATTAATATTATTTCATTAGAGTTCAATGAACACATCACAGATATCAAATGATGACTATGAAAAATAAAAACTGAAATGGGACACATTGGGTGAAACAAGTTTAATTTGATACATATAAAAAAGGAAAACCAGAACATTGAAATTGTGGCAACATATGTGTTGAATTCATTTCTTTCTTAAGAAACTATATTTTAGCAAATAGATTGATATATAGGTTTTTATTGGAATATTGCTCACTATTTCTAATGTTTTGCACTACTATTTCCCTAAATTACGTATGATTCATTGTTTTGAGAAGCTAGTGGAAATACATGGTATACCAAAACTTTTCCTCCTTGTAGTGTTATGAAATATACAATTTGTAATTGTAATGATTGCTGATGGTCATAGAGTGGCTGTTGTGCCGTATATTTCAGTATCTTATATTTCAATCACATAATTAAGGTAATTGGGAAAATATATATTTACAGTTTCTTAGCTACATGGTAGGGATTCCACCAGGCCCCAACCAGATCTAGCCTTTCAATCATCTGTAATATCTCTGCAATACCTACATCAACAAAATTCACTATGTATTTGGATTGGCCCTCAAGAAGAGTATCACCAGTTTGATTTGGATGCTGTCTGTAAAAAGTAGAGAAGTAACTGGCAAATCCATCAACAATTGAAGTACAGTAGAAGTATACGAGCCCATGTTTATCATATTGGGCAAGTGTGGACCAACCTTTCTCAAGTTAATGTGTCTCTAGAATTTTTTCTTGTCGGAATTAATGTAATGGGCAAGATTCTCATGCAAGCAAGAGAAATCCCTTGTAAACAAGGAGTAATGTAATGGAGAATCATATAATGTATAAACTTTATGCCCATCCTTTTTCCTGAAAATTTAATTTTTCAGTTCCCAGCTGTACCATTGTGGAAAAATTGATTTCTTCAAGACTTTTTTTTTAGGTACATACAGATCAAAACATTTATGTATATATGAAAATAGAAAAATGCAATTACATGATACTATGCTATGATATACATGGTATTATTTCAAGATATAATAGTGAAAAAAATATATTTTAAGAAAAAAAAACTTCAGTATTGTAGTTGAAGAAAGAAGAAAAAAAAATTTAGCAATTTTCCAAAACAAGCGGATGGACTGACACGCATGCGGGAACAGAGTGACACACACATGCAGGAACGGAGTGACACACACATGCGGAGATGAACTGACACACACATGCAGAGACGGACGGACACACACATGCGGGGCCGGCTAGTCAGCCGGCCATATTGACACATGCGGGGCTGGCCGGACTGACTGACACATGCGGGCTGCCGAACCGACAGACACATGTGAGCGACTACTGGTCCGGAACGGAAGGTACAGACTGACGGACAATCAGATACAAACACGCATTATCTGTCAGAAAGGCAGTTACACAGAAAGCCAGTCTTTCATTCAGGTAGACAGTCTGACACAGACAGACAGGCGGTCACACTGACAGCCAGACATATGTAGTCTCAGCTGCAGAAGAATGCTGTAGTTCTCTTTGTTATCAAGGATGCTGACACTGATTATCCTGGATGCTTGAAAAATAATTTATTACAAATAGGAATATGTTACAATTCATTTTGTCAGTTTCTTGGACTTACATAAACCTTTTTCCTGCAGAAAATTCTTCGTTTTTGCTCCAACCTTCTTATTTTGGTATCATAACTTCTATATAGTAGTATGAGTGGTAGAAAAAATTAATCACTTTTTGTTTAATTTTTGAGAAAATGTCCATGAAAATTCCTTAAGAACCACTCACAGTTTTAAATAATTACACACTACACCATTTGAAAAACTATAATGTTATTGCAAGGGATAAATTGCATTGACAAATGCAATTGATATCCCTGGGTTTGTAGTACTGGATGGAAAAATAATTGAACTTTGTAATTTTCAGAACTTCAGATGTTTTAACAAAAATTCAAACTAAACTGTATTTATAATAGAAACATTCCTCTATTTAGCCAATATATTTTGAGGAATAGATTTGCAGTAAATTTGTAAATATGAGTGTGTCTTAAAATGTATGACTTGCTTCATGTAAAGAACCTTCAAAAATTAATATACCGTAATGATCTCTGGAATGTCACAATTTCATCTTGCTCCTGGCATGTTTACTACATTTGAGCTCAAAAGCTTCTAATCTCACATAGTTGTGCGAGACAAATACCACATACAGATGTTTGATTTGTCGGTACTCTGTGCATCTTCTTGCCACCTGCCAATTAAAAAAAAAAAACTCTTTAAAATATATTATTTATCTCTCTGTAAAATTGATGATATTCAGAAACACTTACACGAAGTTTTTTCAAAACCATCTCTAAATTTTTCATTAATAATTTGCATAGATAAACAGGTTTCACTTTTCTACAATGTTCTTAAAGTTGTATTTCAGCTATTAGGGGTGTGAAAAGTTGAGAGAATATAAAAAAATGTATTTTTAGTGCTGAAAGGTAGCACATGCGAGGAGTGTGGGGAAAAAACAAAAAGCTAGCCCAGACTAAACAGATTAGAAAAGTAACTTGTACAAGAAAGTCAGCGTCATTCTTTAACACCACTAGATATTCATGTGGTAAAATTTTAATTTAAAATATATTAAACATACATTTCTACATGCATACATTTAGTACATATTTATATTTAAAAATATTTGATAGTTGTCACCATATAACCCTGGTTTATGATAAGAAATTAGACTCTCAGAAATTTTTTCTTTGTAAAAATGGACTTTGCAATCTAGTGAAGGGGTTTTCAAATCTTTTTCGTCCATGGCTCCCTTGACCTAAAAGAAACTTCCTGCAGCTCACATTTTATTCAATCTCTAATTTTTTGACAGTTCTTCTAAAAATTAATGGGGAGGATGAGCTTGCTTCTTCATTAACAATTGTTCAAATCTGAGTTCAATATTTGAAATTGTGACTTGCCATTCTTTTACAACGTTCAGTTTCGACCGCTATCAAATACAGTGGCGTGGGAACGGGAACTCTTGATCTGCGTAGGTAGATTGATTAAATATCCCCAACGCACGCTTGGGATGTACGTCGAAGCTAAAGGAGCCAGAGAAGCTTATTCGTAAAGAACTTGGAAAAGAGGTTCAATTAACCCATAAATAATATGTAAATAAAAAAATAAATCATATGTATTACAGATAACATATACAATGATAGTACACTATTATTTTGTTGTCATAGATTAACCGAAGATTAAAGTAAATCTAATTTAAAGATCATTTGTAATAAATCACCGCTGCGCCTCTGGGAGCCACGACACGCAGATTAACAAACCCCTGGTCTAGTGCATTTTACACATATAGGGATGCGTGGATGTTTTTGTGTGCTTGTACTTCATTGTAAAAGTCTAATTTAAACTTGTTTTTATTTTCAGTTTAAAAAAAAATTATTTAATATGTGACACTAGATTGTATTTGTAGTTGCAGATGGCTGTGCAGAAACAACAGCAACTGCAGATTCAGCAATGCCTAGCACAACAGAATCCAGCTCCTGCGACCAACAACACAATGCTGCCAGCAGCAGTTGCCGGCAAACACAGACGACGATCAACAGCCGCTGACCCCAATAAATAGCGACGGCCCTGCCCCTGTGTTATGGGTGAGGAGTGAGGCAACAGCGTCTCAGAGCTGGGCTCTGGACTGTGATCACTGGCCAGCAGTTGGCCACTGCGCACGTGTTACCAGATTGCAATCCACCTCAGATACCTCAGGACCAGTCTTCTACCTTGACATCCTCTCCCCCTCCTCCGATTTTGAGAGAGCATGGTTTGACTGCATGCAGAGACAGAAAACAATAGGGGTGGAACTGCAAGTCTCTCTCTCTCCCTCTCTCTCTTTTAATCTGTTGTCTGTCAAGTAAGACTGGGTCCCACAAACTAGGTGTTGGAGGGACCACAGAGGTGCAGGACATTGTTGGCCGTTGCACAACGCGAGTAGGGCTGGACGCTGGACGTGGTGGGTGTATAGAAGCTTAGGATGTTGTGGAATCATTGCTGACAGCACGAGTCCCCCGCAATGTCTGTGATGAATATATGCTTGTAAGTCATTGAAGTAGTTATTTGGATGGATGGTTTGTGTGCTTATGAATTAGTGTTAAATGTAAGAATGAGTGTATGTGAAACTGAAACGAGTTGTGGTGAAATTTTTTAGTATAATATATGTATATATTATTCTTTAAAGTACATTTCTTTTGGGTATTTTTATTGTATTTTAGAATTTATTTGGTTACAAACATAATTCCTGATTCTCTCAGATGAAAATCTGTAATAGATGAAATAATTTTAAGACAAAGGGTTCTGGTCCAAGGCAGAGAATACTGAGAAAATGAAACTGATCATATTGGTACTTCTCAAGATTATTTGAAAGTGGTTCATGAGCCACAAAATATTATTGAAATGCATAGCTTGCAGTTGCTCAAGGGGTAGAGGGGCTGCCATATTGCAGTAGTGAACTGGGTTATGGTAAATAATACATGTTGGAATTGTGCACCTTATGTTCACAAAGTATTCTTATGAGGCAAGTTTGGAGTGTTCCATTTGAAAACATGTTTGCACTGAGAAGATCAGTCTTCCCAAAGTCAGTCTTTTTCATAACTCAAAACAATCATTGCCTCTATACGTGCTGTTACTATGGTGCATTGGTGAGTAAGATTGTTGCTCACTATTCATTACTGTTGATCTCTGGTAAGGTAAAGTCTTTCATTGTGCAATATATTGAGGGGAAACTAGTAACCCCCTCTGTCTGTATACTATTCTGTATGGTTTAAAATTCCTCAAAATGAATATTCTGGTATGAAGTGGTAACCAAACCAAACTATACAAAGGTTTCTACTGGATTGCAGAATTTGCAAAGTGCGAATGTATGATTACTGTCAGATTGCAGTGATAAATATTCTTTCTATTAAAGATGCATAATGTGTTTCATATCTATTTGAATAAAGTATTGTCAGAAACATGTCAATCACCTTCATATTGTATGAAAATTCAATAGAATTTTCATAGCAAATTTCACTCATTAAAAGTAGGTTGCATAGAAAAGAACATAAAATTCATTAAAGAAGGCTATAAAGGAAGAACATGTAATTGAATTTCCCTCTTACAGTGATTATTCACTATTCATTTTCTTAATAATGTTTTGCTTTTGTGTTGATATGATTTTGTTATTTGTATATGCGTCAATAATGCTGGAACTACAGGAATTTTTTTATTTTTTATTGCATTCTTCCAGGTATGTTAAATATAAACTTCAAATTTTCATAATAATTAGTTCTTTATTAATTATGAGGAGCAAACCTATCAAGACTGATGACATACTGTAGTTGCAAAAAACTGTATTGTGCAATACTGACCTGAATATGTCTTATTCAGAACAGACCATTAAGCACCTTATAGTCCAGTATTGCTGTGTGTGTTTTGATGTATTGTTTGAATTTATACTTTCCTCGTGCTGTGTAACAAAATTTTGATTTAGGTATTCCTATGTTACCACTGAATGATTCTTGTTACAAATGCTCTAATATTTTTGTAAGTTACTAAGTAGTGGTAATAATTATTTATAAGGCAGTAATTGTATATCACATGAGTACTTACAAAGGAGCAACTGCGTTTTTGAAATTGGGTTCTTTTGATGAACTATATGTACTTCCTGTTATACTAGCACCCACAACGGTAATTTTTTGTGCAAGAAAATAAAATAAAAAAATAAAAGGAATATTGTGATCATTTCCATTGCAACAGAAATTTTTGAGCCAAGATCAAGATTTTTTTTGCTCAAAGCTCAATTTGCTATTGGTTGAATATTGCAGTTACTACTTTGGTTACAACCTACTATTGCTGATGGAAGTCAGTAATGTTGCCAAATATACAAGACTTTCTAAGAGTATGAAGCAAACTTGAGTATCTGATTCATAATGGAAATTGTAATACCCTTCAAAATTATTAAAGAAAATTTCACTTGTTCAGTTATCACATAATAAGTAAAGATAAGTAGGTCAGCCATTATTGCAAGTTTCAAATAATCTTAAAACATGTTTATTTTAATTTATTTTGTTTACCAGCTTCCATACTGCTCAGTATGAAATGAGGAGGATTTGTTTAGTTTTATTCAATATTTGTGATGAAATTATGACATTTTAACTTTTTTCTGTTTATGGTAGAAGTATTTTGAAGCAGATAAAATATTTAAATATTTTTTTAGTATTGGATATGTATAAAGTTACATATGTTTATTTGGTGCAGATAAACAAGTTTGTATAGTTATGACTTGAAACTGGGTTTTTCCTATATATCCCTAGTTTTCTAATGTGTAATTTGTATTTGTGAAAGGACCATTTTCATTTCTATTGTGTATACAGTTCTGCTTTTAATTGGACTCAAATGAACCTATAGAAAGAGGGTATTATAAATGCAATATTGTGTGCATGTATAAACCAGTGTTGACTACATGCAGATGCATAGTCTTCCATAGAATTATCCCAGCGTTTCCTTTATCCAATTGTATGTTTGTGAGGGACTCGTTGCTCTTAAATGGTCTTGACATTATGTATTTTCCTACAAGTTGTTAAACTTATTCTGTGAAATTTCTGAAACTCACCGTACGCCTGGTCAGTGCTTATTCTAATGCTTGTCATTCAATCACAATGTGGCATTCTGGTGTGCTCCTTATTCATAGTTGTAGTAGATCATTGTTTTCACCTGTAACTTAGAATCAGGAGCCCTTTATCATATTTTCTAGTACTTTCCCTGAAAACATATCTCCTGTTGAGAAAAATCTGATGTTTCAAGATCTATAACTCAGTGAGAATGGGATAATGTTGCCAGTAGTTCTTGATGTTGCTGATTTGGTACTCCACTTACTCCCTGTTCATGTACATATAGTTTTATGTAAGCATTGTATGTCCACTGACTTTTATTTGAAGAATCTTTGGTGTTGTACATGTATTGATCTCTTGTACGTACAGGATTGATGTTACTTGTCTTAGATTCCTCTATATAAATATTGATAATTCAATTTTTAATCCATTGTATGTTGTTCTGTTGTTTGTGTTCATTGATCATTGTAATTTTACCGTGAAAATTTGCAAAACGTTACTTGAAGATATTGATTGTAAAGCGGACCTACAATGTTCCAAATTTGTGCACTTTCCTATAATTGATGTATATGCGTACAAAAAACCTAAATGTTTTTTTATTGTCTGTAGTATTGCCAGATTTTGGATGTTCATGAATCAGCAACATCAAGCAATGCAAGTTGGAATGCAGATGTTGCTGCAGGAAAAACTTGCCTTTTCATGAGCAATAGCCCAGGGCCCACTGAGTGCTAGCTTCCTGCCCCACCACGCCCACATTTGGATAAAATTCCATACAAGACTGGCGCCCCGCTCTGCCACGGGGCCACACGTTTTGTTCCGAACAATCCCATGCAAATGGAAGTTCACTTATTTATTTGATATTTGAATCATGCTCACCAAGTGCATTAGTGTGTACCTGTGTATGTTAGTATGAATGGTGTGTGAATGTGGAAACAAAAGTGTATGTGGATAGAGCGTACAAATGTAAAGAGATTTATTAATATTATTGATCATGTGTTACAGGATTTTTTTTTAAAAAAAAAGGGTAATGAAAAAGCCAATAAACTATAAAGTCTGTATATAAGTATGAATTGACTGTGGCAGCAGTGTTGTTTGACATGTTTTGGTTGTGAAGGAGTATGTGCACGATCTTAATTTATTCAATGTAAACATCATGTTATACTGATCTGTAATTTAAACTTGGCAATGTGACATAGTGAAAATGCAAAAGAGAGAAAATAGATTTACTACTCAATAAAATCTGCAGCAAGTGTTCCATTTATAACGACCACAACTTGTAGATTTCGTTAAAATGACATTGAATAAAGACTTCCTTCTTGAATACCTCATCCGCTGTCATCTTGCACGGACAGGCAGTTTTTGATGGTGGTTTATGGAGTTGAGGAGGGTGTGCTTCTGAAAAGAGGACAGGACATCTAAAATTCTCATTACTAAATGTCAAATACAATCATTCACATTGAAAGACAACTAATAGGAATTTTTTTCCACTAACAGCCGAAATTGGCTTTTATCTTCTTAGAGAATTCACCTCCTTGGTAAAGTATACTTCATACTTTACACAAACTTGACTGATTGTGATATTAAAAAATAATAATAATAATAATAATAATAATAATAATAATAATAATAATAATAGCAACAATAATAACAACAATAATATATTTATTTTTTTAATTCTAAAAGGCAGACAAATGATTTTTATTGAATGGCAAACTGGGTTTAAAGTAAATATTATGAACAAAACAAATCCGGAGAACTTTTTTTTGAAATTGTATTATAATAATCACTGTTAATTGTCACTGCATTTTTGGCATAATTCCGAAATAAATATTTTAATTATTTGGAAGACGATTATTAAATGATTGTGCTAGCTTATGAAATATTTTCTGTCAAAATAAAATTGGTAATTGAACTAAAGTTATATATATTTGTAAGTGTGAATTTTTACAGAATTTTATTGTCCATTAAGAAGAAAGGAAAGGTAGGGACATAAGATTCCCATGGAGAGTATATTGTGCATTATTATTATTAATATTATTATTATTATTATTATTATTCCTGGGGGGGGGGGGAAATTCTTTGAAACGAGATTGAGTACAACACATGAGGAAGTTTTGGGAATATTCCTTGATTATAAATGATTAGAAGTGATTTCTCATTGATTTTTAATACAATTAACACTGACTTCATTTGAAAATCCATGAGATTTATTTATTTTAAAGAAATGGACTTTTGTTCATGTATTAAAATATATGGTTTGTTTGATTGCTAGTCGTAAACCTAAAGGGCAATTTTTATTGAAAAAAATGGTGAAAAAAGTTGATGAAGAGAAACAAGAAGTCTACATTGAAAAAGGGGTTGTCTCATAACTACCTTTTAAGTTATATATGACAGTGTAGTTGCAAATTGTTATGCATATTAAAAAATGGTGTGCCTAAAAATATCAAGTTTTGCTGAAAGCTGCTGTACTTCACATGAAGCATTTCCTAAATTTTGATAGTAAGTTTCTTCTACTAACTTTTTGATTACGTGAATATATTGTGACAAATTGATCAAATAGAGATCGCTTATTTTTCATTTTAAGATCTAATGGAGTATTTTATTGTTCCAAGTGTAATTTGTTTTTACTCAAAGCTCACCATCGTGATATGCATTTCAAATTACGATGTGATTGAAAGATTAATTAGCATGAAATATGCCATGGAAAAACTGAAAAAGTCCCATTAAAATAGTTGAAAAGAGAATTTAGGCTCTCGGAAAGAGAAAAAAGTTACTCTTAAATTATTTCAATTACACATTTGTTGTTTCAATTGCAACATTTCATGCAGTGGTATTTTTCAGGGATATCCGAGTCTTCATACAAAGCAAAAAACAAAGGGATTGCCCAGAATTGCAAACTCCAGATTTCCTAAACTCAAACCAATTTCTTTTTCTCCCCTACCTGTCCCTACATTCATGTGGTGTTGAGTACTAATTTTATTTTCCCTTTATATTCGTAAACTGATATCAATTTTCTTAATTCTCTAAAAAATAATGAGATTTATCTACTCTTATCTCTGTCATGTTTTAATTAATTCACAAAATTCTGTTGTATTGCAGGATTAGGTACACCATTGTTTCTATTTTTAATTTGTGGATTAACTTAACCAATCTCTTTATTTCGTAAATTAAATTAGTAGTGTAAAAACAACACTTACTGACTCGCTTTTAGTAATAGTTATATAACACTACACCACAATTTCTCTCCAAATTAACACATCTCATACATCATTTTTTGTAAAATTTGTTTGAAATCAGAACATTTGGTGAAGAAATTAAATAGTTTCAAGGAATAAATGTTTTGTTTATAGTTATTCAAACCATTATATGAAAATATCTTTCTAGCATTGAATGTGTTGTATAAGGTGTGCAGTGTATTTACAAACGTAACCAACAAGTTTTTTGCCTTATTCCACATAAGCAGTATATGAGAAAGTAAAATAATTTTAAAGTTAATAAATAATACGAAACTGGTAGCATTGGCAAACAAATGGAAATAGATTGAAAAACATATAATAATAACTATTAAACCTAATTGTATTGTAATATTCTCCAAATTCGCTCCATTTAACACAATTACACATTATTTGTCCCAACATGCAATGCTAAATACTCTATATGTTTTCACATCTAAGAATATTTCCTCAAATTCTCTTTACTAATTCTAGTGACTTCAGAATTCAACATGTAAATGGGTTTGGGTAAGATACCAGAATTTACGAAATCATTCACAGAATACATATCTTCTCATAATATATCACACTCATTTTTTCTGTATTTGATGTTAAATAAAAAATATATACTGTAAAGAAATCAAACATAGCGTCATAATGGTTGCATGTCAGTGTTCAACAAAGAGAAGAATTCAACAGAATTTCACTATCTTATATTGTCATTGAACAATGAACTTCTGAAATATAGTATATCACTGCATTGTTTCTCAAGGCAGCTTATGTAGTAATATAAAATTAAAATGTTCATAAAAATTAATGATACGCAACCTTTTCAATTGTTTGTTCATGTAAAGTATTGGAAATAATGCTAATATAATCCAAACCCAACCAATTAAAAGGAAGCACTTGTGGTGGATATCTGTATTTATTTTGGCAGGAAGGGAAAGTAGTCATTTATAACTTTCAGAAATGAAACATACCATAATCAGCGATCAAAATTTCTTGAAGTTAAAAAGTAATTTGTTAGTTCTAAGTTAAATTAATTACCTTTCATCAATCTACTTTCTTTTATAAGAATAGCAATAGCTTTCAAATACTTCTCAGCTTATATTCATGAAGCTCAGTAAATTTGGAGCAGGTGACTTTGTAGTCACATTACACAAAAAATAATGATATTTTCAAAAAATTCGACATGACCTAATTTGAAAATGTTTTGTACAAATACATTACAGTAAGAAAAAAAACTGTATCTTCACAACTAGAAAAATGCTGAAATTTTTTAAATTTTTATAAAATCAGGAATTTTAACAAAAATGAGACCTGCACCATTCTCTTAAGCATCCTTTACTCAAAGATCTAAATTTAATTAAAAGGAAATTGGCTCTATTTTTTAAGAAAAAATGGTTTAAAGAAAAAAATAAAGTATGCTTGACAAAAAAATTCTTTAAAAAATGCTAATTTTTTTGATAAATTGAACATCGTCTCCTTTGATGATTGATTTTGATGAACACATTTCATTGAGAAAGAAGAGATGAATCTTCATATATTGTAGTTGTAGGAAGACACCAAAACAATTTTTAATTTTTTCAATTTTCAAAAAAATCCGCGTTTTCAACTGACATAAGACTATACCATTATCTTAAATGTTCTTCTGACTATCCATCAACAAAAACGATGGAGCTGTTTTTGGGAATAAAATTGATTACACAAAATTAAAAATTGCTTATACCTGAAGCAAAATTACACATATAATATTTAAATTTTCCAATAATTGTACCTTATGATCTTATTTTTAAATATATCTTTAAAGAACAGATTTTATTAAGGGAAAAAACCTCTATCTTTAATATTTTAGCTGTAGGAGGACGCCAAAAAATTTCAATTTTTGCAATTTTCGAAAAATCAG